GGAGGCCCCTATGTGTAGAAAGTGGGCTTTTCCCTTATCAGAGGACACAGCTCATGTGATGGCCACACCTTCTGCACATTCTCTGTAAGAGGACTTGCAGAATCTTCTGTCTCTTCTTACTCCCAGAGTGTGCCCATACTACCTCTCTCGGAACCTGAAGCAACAAGCTGACATCATCTTTATGCCATACAATTACTTGTTGGATGCCAAGGTAAGGGGTTGTTGGTAATTACTGATGTCCAGGGTTGTCCCTGGGCTTAGGAAGGGCTGCCTGAGCCTTTGTTAGAACCTCAGAGAGCAAATGTGAGCAGGAGGCCTCTTCTCTGTCACTGATAAGGCTCAAGACCTGGCCAGATGCAGCAATGAATAGCTCAGGGCCATTGGTTAGTTACCGAGCAACCTGAGCATAGGCAGGCTGGTCAGAGTGGGAAGAGTCCATGTTGTTACCATTGAGCCAGTACTTGCCCTTGGTCCTTAGCTTAGCTTCTTTTAAATCAGACCATGAGAAGTGATGACTCAAGAAACCTGAGCATTTTCCTGTTCTCCCTGGTATTCTTTCCTACACGTTTGGCCATCTTTTTTTTAAATGTTTTTTTTTAAATTTTATGTGTGTGTGTATTGCCTACATGTGGTTAAGTGCACCCATGTCATGCAATGCCTGCGGAGGTCAGAAGAGGCCATTGGATCCCCTGGGACTAGAGTTACAGACAATTGTTAGCTGCCATGTGGGTGCTGGGATTCCAACCCGGGTCTTCTGTAAAAACAGCCAGAGTTCTTAACCGCTGAGCCATCTCTCCAGCCTCATTGGCCATCTTTTTGTGTCCTACCCCTTTCATTTAACATAGCTAGATTTTTTTTCTAAACTTTTTTTTTTTTTTGGTCTTTTTGAGACAGGGTCTCCCTGTAGCCCCAGCTGTCCTGGAACTCACTATGTAGACCAGGCTGGCCTTGAACTCACAAAGATCTGCCTGCCTCTGCTTCCTGAGTGCTGGGATTAAAGGCGTGCACCACCATACCCAGCTCTAAACTTTTTTATTACATTTTATTTATTTGTTGTGTGTGTGCTTAGTGTGTGGAAATCAGAGGGCAGTTTTCAGGAGTTTGTTCTCGTTTCCCATCTATGGGTCCCAGAGATCAAACTGAAGTCATCAGACTTGGCAAGCATCTTTACCTGCTGAGCCATCTCACTGATCCTATAGCTAGACTTTTTTTTTTTTTCTTTTATGATAGGATCTTATGTATCTTAGGCTAATCTTTAATCTGCTGTGTAGCTTAGGTGACTGAACTTATGAGCCTCCTATCTCCCTGCTAATATGTGTATTACAATTCTATTTTTTTGCGGGGGGGTTCTTTTTTGAGACAGGGTCTCTCTGTAGCCCCAGCTAGCCTGGAGCTCACTATGTAGACCAGGCTGGCCTTGAACTCACAGAGATCCGCCTGCCTCTGCCTCCCGAGTGCTGGGATTAAAGGTGTGCGCCATCACACCAGGCTTTTTTTTTTCTTTTTTTTTTAATTCTAATACATCAGGATTTCAGTGCTTATTTATACTGTATACATGTTGATCTATATTTTCTCAAAAAATGTAATATGTAGCTGAAATTTTTTGGTGGGGAATTCTTTTTGAGACAGGGTCTCCCTGTAGCACCATCTGGCCTGGAACTCACTATGTAGACCAGGCTGGCCTCTGTCTCACAAAGATATGCCTGTCTGTGCCTCCTGAGTGCTGGGTTTAAAGGCTTGTGCCACAGCAGCTGAAGTTTTTTAAAGCCAATAAGAGCTATAAAAAATAGTTAAAAATAAATAAAAGGCAAGTTGTAGAAAGGAATGAAATGCTCCTGTCTTTCAAAGGACCTGGAACCAGAATACATAAAAGGCTCTTAGAACTGAATAGCCCAGTTCATCACTGGGCAGAGACCTGAGCAGACACTTCTCCAAAATTGATAGAATGTCCATATCATGTAGGAAAGGTGTTCAAGAGCTGTAGTCACCTGGACAATTCAAACACAAACCATAGGAAATGCATTCCAATGGAAATGGCTGAATTAAAGAGAGTTAGGGGTCTGGGGATATGGCCCAGTGATAGAGCACTTGCCTAGCATGTATGAGGTACTAGAATCAACTCTCAGCACCACATACACACAAAAAAAAGAAAGGTAAATGAGCTGGGTCAGTGGGTAAAGGTTACCGCAAATCAAACCTGATAACCTAAGTTCAATCTCCTGGACCTATATGGTAGAAGGAGAGAACTGACTCTTGCAGAGTGTCTTCTGACCTCCACATGTGTGCCTTATCAAGCCTGCCTCCCCAATAAATAAATAAAATGTAATTTTAAAAAACTTTAAAAGATGGGGCTGGAGAGATGACTCAGTGGTTAAGGGCACTAGCTGCTCTTGCAGAGGATCCAGGTTCGATTCCCAGCACCCACATGGCGGCTACAAACCGTCCTTAACTCCAGTTCCAGGGGAATCCGAAGCCCTCTTTTGACCTCCATGGCATTGCATGACATGGGTGCACTCACATACATGTAGGCAATACACTCATACACATAAAAATAATAAATACTGAAAAAAAAAACCTTTAAAAGAAAGTTAAAATATGAACCGGAAGTCCCAGCTGTGGTTGGTGGGTGTGCAGATTGTGAGTAGCTCTGTCCACACTGTGTCAATGACTGCCTCCTGGGGAGTGAAGTCCTAAGTCCAGTGATTTAGGCATGTGGTCACTAGAGCTCACAACTACTAGAAGTGGGTCCTGGTGCATCCCTAGAGCAGAAGCTGCCAGCAGTAAGGAGTGGATAAGTCTCAGACACACTGCCAGGACTATATTCTACAGGAGGCGAAGGAAAATGATGTTTATATAATACCCATATCTGTCAAAGCCCAGCTGTGGAGCTGAGCATGGTAGTGCATGCCCGTAATCTCAGCTCTAGGAAACGGAGGCAGGAAGATGATAAGTTCAAGGCCAGCCTAAGCTACATTGTAAGACCCTATCTCAAAGATCAAACCAAGTAGGGGACTAGGCTTAGTGGCAGAGTACTTGAGGCCCTGGGTTTAGTCTCTAGCATTATGAAACAGAACAATAAACACACCTGTACCTTGTACATTTAGCCTGTACAGTCCTCTCCTTTTGCCAGGTGAGTTCCAGGGATAAACTTAGATCAGGCTGAGATTGTCGGGCTTAGCAGCAAGTGCCTTTTCCTACTAAGCCATTTCACTTGCCTTGAATACTAGATTTTTAAAACTTCAACTGTGTACTAGATAGAGAACCACTGGGTATAGACTTCTTTAGCTACCTTGTTGCTCTGCTTAGGTTCCATGGCTTCCTTGACCATCCTGTTGATTATGGCATATACCCCTTTGTACTATGTGAGCAGTTCCCTGAGCTAGGTGCCCACAAGCATCCAGCTTTGGTCAGGCTTAGGCAGGTCATAAGTTTGTTTTCCACAGCCAACTTAGAGCAGCTGCCAGTCCTGACAATGGCAGATGAGAGCCTTTCCTGTTCCTCCCATAGTGTGTATGGTTCCTGCTTGTAATTACTATTCACATACCTCAGTTTCCCTCTTTGTCTGCTTGTGCAGGCCTGCTCTCAGCTGGCCCTGCCCCTCTCAGCTCCGACCCATGGTGACTTCTCTTCTTTGTAGAGTCGTAAGGCACACAACATTGATCTGAAGGGGACAGTTGTGATCTTTGATGAAGCTCACAATGTGGTAAGTCCTTTGTCCTCCGTGCTAAGTGCTTCCTGTCTCTCTCAGCTTCCTAAATCTTTCTAGAGGAATTCACGTAAAACCTTGGCCTGCCTATCAGGACCAACCAGATTCAGGTGCTGCTGTTCCCCTGGCCTCCTATCAAATGCCTCACTTGGGCCAGAGGCTGGCCTGTTACGCTTCAGATGTGTCCTCAGGTACAGGGTTTATACACAGGCCCTTCATTGGACCTCTGCCCTTCTAGCCAATTGGTAGGGCCATTTTGGCCCTGTTATATCCTACACTGTCCTCTTTCATCCTTCCTGTAGTGTCTCTGCTCTTTAGGCTACTTGGCCTGATTCTTAGGATGCTTCTATGGAGAGAGTTACTCATCTCTGGTGGTGGCAACAGCAGCAGCAGCAGCAGCAAGAGGCCCTCCTGGCTCCTTTTGTTCCTGTTTCCCCCACCTGTCTCACACTGACTCCACCTGTCTCTATGGCCACTGTGCAGGGCTGTGTAGAATAACCTCACAGGTTGGGCACATGAGGCAGCCATTCCTAGCTGCTCTGGAGCCTGGGATGAGGCTGATTAAGAGTAAGGGCTCCCTGTGGCAGGGTCTTATCCCCTCCTTGACTCCAGGCAGCTGTTGCCATGGGAGGTATTGATGTGATATTGTCTGACTGACTTTGAAGTTAGAAATGCTGTTTTTAGTAAGAAATTTCCCAGTTATAAAATATTGGCAACTCAAGTGAAAAATCTTTTTTAAACATTGGTGTGGACAGTTAGAGTCATGTTTGGACCAGCTTGTGACTTGACTTTAGAGATTGGGAGCTGGAGCTCTGGGGACTTGACTATCATCTTCCAGCTCCTCCTGCACCTCTACTTCTGCTTCCTAGAGCCCCCATTTTCCCTGCTCTGCTGTGATATGGATCTGTTTGGGCCCTCAGGAGAAGATATGTGAGGAGTCAGCCTCCTTTGACTTGACCCCCCGTGATGTAGCCTCTGGACTGGAGGCTATTGATCAGGTTTTGGAGGAACAAACTCAGGTGGCCCAGCAGGGTGAGCTCTACCTGGAGTTCAATGCAGACACTCCCAGCTCAGGTAAGTTTATGACTAAGAACTGAAAAGTGGTTTTGACTTGCTGGAGACAGCTTGGAAGTGTACCCTGGACATGGGCAATGCTTGCTATTCTTGGCACCTTCTGTCTAGATGGCATTCAGTGGCATGAGTTTGCTGAGAGACTTCAGTGAAATGGTTCAGAGTCCTGTTGTGTGACTTTTCCTGGGGAAATGAGAACAAAGGCCTCTTCATCAGGGTACCAGGGACAAACCAGAGGGACATTTCTACCCAACTAGTATAGTAAGCTAGTGAATATTTATTGGGGTTAATTACATGAGTATGCATGCGAGGTTACATACAGGACTATACATGACTCAGAGGCAGATGTATCACCAAAGTCTACCACAGCCCCAGTATGGATAATTCATAAAAGCTGTATCCCTGGCGCTTCTGGGGTGACTTACTGGCAGTTTGGTTAATTTGAGAGTCAGTTTCTGTCTGTCTGTCTGTCTGTGTGGTGTGTGTATCTCTTTTTTGATTGTGTTTTATGTATATGAGTGTTATGCGTGCATATGTTTAAGTACACCTGTGTCATGCAGTGCCCACAAAGGACAGAAGAGGGTGTCAGATCCCCTGGAACTGGAGTTAGGATGGTTGTTAGCTGCCATGTGCGTGCTGGGATATGAACCCGGGTCTTCTGTAAGAACAGCCAGTGCTCTTAACCACTGACCCATCTCTCCAGCCCTGTGTTTCTCTTTCTCTCTGCAAGTAGTAAGGAAACTATTCAAGGCAAAACAGTAGTCCAGATCAGAAAGAAATATGCAGTCAAGAGTGATAGCAGACCAAACTTACAACAATAATGTGTGAAATTTGTCGCTGTTCCTATAATGTAAGCTTACCACACATTCCCTTTCTGAATTCTCCACCAACACAAAGTCTTTCAATGTAATCATGTTACATCTTAAAGAAAGCAATGCTAATAAAATATTTTTAAATAATAAAAAGAATGACAGCAGGTCACAGTGTAAGGGTCCTACTAGGCAAGAGTCTCTTCTTCCCAGCAATTGTTATTGTAAAACCTTGGGGAGGGGTTTGCGAATCTTGTACATTTCAGCTTTCTGAGTGAGACTTTCAAGTTTTATTTACTTCCTGAGTCATTTTTCCCTTCAGGGTAGAATGTTTTGGGTTTGGAGGAAATTGCTATATAACAATCCTATAGACCAGGGAGGGAGGGTCATCTAATAGTTCCAGTGCTTTTTATTTTATTTTAATACTTTTTATTATTTTATTTTCAAACAAAAGTTTCATGTAGCTCAGGCTAGTCTCAAATTTGTATTGTGTAGGGGAGGTTGACCTTTAGCTTCTGATCCTCCTGAGTGTACTTCCCACGTCCTGAGGTTATAGGCTTGGACCACCACTCCCCATTATTCAGTCATGGGATCAAACCTAGGGCTTCATACATGCTAGGTAAGCACTCTCCCAACTGAGCTATATCCCCAGTTCTAGTTCCTCTAGTGTTTTTTGGTCTTTATGGCTTTTCCTAATTAGTATTGGCTTGTCCTCTACTATGGGTGGCGCCATCCTTGGGCAAGTGGGCCTGTGTTGTATAAGAGAGCAGGTTGAGTAGGGGCCAGGAGAGCAAGCCAGTAAGCAGCCTTCCTCCATGGCCTGTGCTCCAGCTCCTGCCTCCAGGTTTCTGCCCCGAGTTCCTACTTGGGCTCTCTCAGTGATGAACTGTGACCTGGGAGATGTAAACAGAATAAACCTTTTCCTCACCAAGTTGGTATTGGTCAGAGTGTTTTGTCACAGCAATGGAGAAATAAACTAGAACAGGTCTAAATTTGATTAAGATGTATTATATGAAATGCACAAAAACTCAAAAATATTACAAATGAAGCAACAACAGCAAACAACAAAACAATACGGCATATGCAAGAGAGTGTCTTATTAGTTTCTTCTGACCTCCCTTTTTCCCTCCCTCTTCCCTCTCATCCTTCTTCCTTTCCTCCTCTCAAAATAAGAGATTATATTAGGTTTCTCCAAAGAAACAGAACCAATAGAATGCATAGATAAATTGGAGGCCAAGAGTTCCCACAGTCTGCCATTTATAAGTTGAAGAACAAAGATAACTAGTGGTGAAGTTCACTCTGGGTCCATGGACCTGAGGCTTCAGGGAGCTGAAGATAAAACTCAGTCTGAGACCAAAGGCCTGGGGACTTGAAGGGCCTCTAGTGTGAGGTTCCTGAGAGGCTGAGAGCCAGGAGCTCCTATGTCCAGTGCAGGACATGGACATACAGCTGCTCAAAGAGAGAATTTGCCTTCTCTACTTTTTTGTTACATTTGTGTTCTCAGTGGTTTGGTTGAAGCCTATCCAAACCTGGGATGCAGACCTTTACAAATCTACTGATTCAAATGCTAATCCCTTCAAAGCCACCCCCACAGACACATTCAGAAGTAATGTTTTTTGTTGTTGTTTTGTTTTTGGAGACAGGGTCTTCCTGTAACTCCAGCTGACCTGTAGACCAGGTTAGTCTTGAGTGAGCTCCATCCACCTGCCTCTGCTGGGACCAAAGCCATGCACCACCACACCCAGCTCAAAAGTTGTTTTACATGACACTCTTAGCCTGCTCATGCAGACATATCAGATTGGTTGTCACAGTGATCCTGCTTTACTTTTGTCAACCCTTTTATACAGCCACAATGTTTGTGGACACAGCTGGCCTTCCATATCCATGGAGTCCACCAACCTTGGTCTCTACTGAACATGTACAAGCTTTTTCTTGTCATTATTCCCTAAATAATGTAACGTCTATGCACATAGGACTTACATTGTGTTACATGGGAGAGGGACTGGGATGTAGCTCAGTTGATAAGAGTGCTTGTCTAACATGCATGAAACCCTGGATTCAATTTCTAATACCACACAAAATGACCTTGATGGTACATACTTGATTTTAGTTTTGGCTTTTTTGGTCTTGTTGAGACAGGGTCTCCCTGAGCCCCAGCTGGCCTGGAACTCACTATGTAGACCAGATTGGCCTCGAATTCACAGAGATCCACCTGCCTCTGCCTTCTGACTGCTAGGATTTAAGGCGTGTGCCACCACTGTAACCCCAGCCCTTGGGAAGTAGAAGCAGGTGGATTAAAAGTTCAAGATCAGGCCGGGCATGGTGGTGCACGCCTTTGATTCCAGCACTTGGGAGCCAGAGGCAGGCAGATCTCTGTGAGTTCAAGGCCAGCCTGGTCTACATAGTAAGTTCCAGGACAGCTGGGGCTACAGGGAGACCCTGTCTCAAAAAGACCAAAAAAAAAAAAAGTTCAAGATCATCCTTAGCTGTCAGCTATATAGCAAGTTACAGACCAGCCTAGGTTACTCTTGGAGTGGATCTAAGTTTGGTTCCCAGTAACCATGTCCGGTGACTCACAACTATCTGTAACTCCAGCTCCAAGTGACCTGATGCCCTTTTCTGACCTCTACAGGCATTGCATTCATGTGCATATACCCACACACAGACATATACATATAATTAAATTTTTTTTTGTTTTTTTTAGACAGGGTCTCCCTGTAGCCCCAGCTGACCTGGAACTCACTATGTAGTCCAGGCTGCCTTGAACTCACAGAGATCCGCCTGCCCAACCTTTAAAATGTGTTTTGTTTTTTTTTTTAAAGTACATAGTCTGTGTAAATAGTGCACCATTGTTATATGAGGGTCTTGAGCATTAGTGAGTATTGGTATCTAAAACTCTTGGGCTGGAGAGATGGCTCAGTGGTTAAGAGCACTGCTGCTCTTGCAGAGGACCCAGGTTGGATTCCCAGCACCCACATAGTGGCTAACAACCGCCCTAAATCGTGTTCTGGGGGATCCGAGGCCCTCTTCTGACCTTCTCGGGCATTGCACAACATGGGTGCACTTGCATCTTTGCTGGCAGTACACTCATACACATAAAATAAAAATGATAAAAAACCATTGGCTCTGTCCCTGTGTTACTGAGGGAGGACTGCTCTTGGACTTTGCTTTTTCCTTTTGTCATCACTAGATGACACTCTTGTGTAGGGATGCCTGTCTAGCCTTTGTGTGTGACAGAAAGACAGACACATAGAGACACTAAGGTTGTGACCTCCTGTGTATGTGTGTTTCATCCTTTTGGAGGTGTGTCCTCAAGGTCAGTTCCAAGAAGCAGACAGCTGAGCTGAAAAGTGGCTACCCTTGCAGCATTGCTGGACTTCCTCCTCCACTAAGCAGCTGCCCTAGGATCTTACCATAGAATGTGACTTTCGGCTTTTGAATTTTTTGCCAGTTTAATAGACAAAAAAATGACCGTGTAATTCTAATTGGCTTTTCTCCCATGAATGAAACTGAACATAATTTCAAATGTCTAAGGATCTTTTTTCCTTGGGTATGAAGTGGTTGATTTCCTCAGTTTTTTGTTTTTTTTTTTTAATGTGTATGAGTGTATTGCCTGCCTGTAGGTAAGTGCACCCGTGTTGTGCAATGCTTGTGAGGACAGAAGAGGCTGTCAGATCCCCTGGAACTGGAGTTATGGACAGTTGGTAGCTGCCATGTGGGTGCTGGGATTCGAACCCGGGTCTTCTGCAAGAACAACCAGTATTCTTAACTGCTGAGCCATCTCTCCAGCCTGATTTCCTCAGTTTTAGGGAACTATATTATATTTGGTATAATATACTAATATAATAATTCCTGTTTTGGTTTGGTTTTCTATTGCTGTGATAAAACACTGATCAAAACCAACTTGGGGAGGATTTATTTGGCTTACAGCTCACAACTCATCATCTAGGGAAACCAAGGCAGGAACCTAGAGGCAAGAATAAGGCACAAACCATGGAGGAGTGCTGCTTACTGGTTGCTCCTCTGGCCCATGCTCAGCCTGCTTTCTTATAAAACCAGAACCACCTGCCCAGGGGTGGCCCCACCCACAGTGGGCTGTGCCCTACCACATCACTCAACAGTCAAGAACATGCCTCATAAACACGACCATAGGCCAACTTGAAGGAAGCAGTGCCTCAGTTGAGATTCCCTTCTCCTGGGTGGGTCTAGTTAACTGAAGCTTTCCAGCGCAGGTTCACATGTTCTTAGCCTCCTTTATTTGTTTATTTATATGAATGTTTTGCCTTAATGTATGTAAGTGCACCTGTGATACAGTGCTGTAGCAGCCAGAAGAGGCCATCCAATCCCCTAGAACTGGAGTTAAGGACAGTTGTTAGCTGCCGCGTGAGTGCTGGGAACCAAACCCAGGTACTCTGCAAGCGCAATCAGTACTCTTAACCACTGAGCCACCTCTCCAGCCCCTCCTTAGCCTCCTTTTGGCTGTGATACTTTCTTAGACTGTCCTTGTTTTTGATCGTCTTGACAGTTCAGAGGAGGTCTGGTCAGGTTTATAGAGAATGTCCCTTAATTGGGATTGTCTATTTTTCTCATTGATTCATTGAAACTTTGAGGTCTGGGGCAAAGATCACAGAGGTAAAGTGCACAAAGTAAGCATCAAAATCACATACATTATATATAATTTTTGTACCTCAGAGGATAGCATTAAGAAAATTATCTGAGTGTAATGCAATCATAGCATTTGGGAAATAAAGGCAGAAGGATTGCTGCAAATTTGGGGCTAGCCTGGTCTGCGTACTGAGTTTCAGGCTAGCCATGAAGACCCTGTCTCTAGCCCCAGCTGTCCTGGAACTTACTATGTAGACCAGGCTGGCCTTGAACTCATAGAGATCCACCTGCCTCTGCCTCCCAAGTGCTGGGATTAAAGGTGTGCACCACCACACCTGGTGGTTTTGTGTTTTTTGAGTCAAGGGTTTACTCTGTAGCTCTGGCTGGCTTGAAACTTGCTTTGTGGACTAAGCTGGCCTTGAACTCACAGAGATCCACCTGCCTTTGCCTACCAAGTGCTGGGATTAAAGGCATGTGCCACCACACTCAGCAGGAAGACCTGATTTTTTTTTTTTAAGGGAAAACCTACAGACTGACAGAAATTGTTTGCAAATCATAGTAACCAGTAAAGTATCTGTATGTGAGAGTTATAAAATTAAAACCTCTGACAAGTGAGATATGAAATGAAGAAGAGGTGTAAATATTTCTTCAAGGAGGAGGTGCAGATGGTCAATGCACACAGGAAAATACTGAGCATCATTGTTTACCAGGGAAGTACAAATGGAAACCACAGAAAGGCGACACTTCATGTTCTAATAAAGAAAGTGGACAGTGATAAGTATTGATACAGATGAGGGGAGAGCACACTTGCAGACATTGCTTATGGGAACAGAAGATGGTACAGGGCATTGTGGAATACAAGTATTTTGTCCAAAAGCTAAACACAGTTATGTGCTTAACTTGGGCTGCTGTGACAAAGTACTCCAGGTTAGGTAATCTACCACAGATTGATTCTTTATACTTGGAGAGGCCTCGAAGTCCAAAAGCAAGGTGCCATAGGGTTGGATCCTCCTGTGTCCCCTCTCCTTGATTTGAAGATGCCTGCTTTCTCACATCTTTACATGGCCTTTTCACTCACATCCTTTCTACTACACTGAGAAGCCACACTGAGGCTGCAGTCAGTGCTAGGAGGATGTGGAATTATGTGCACAATGCTTTTTCTCCTCTAGGGCTCAACATGGAGCTGGAAGACATTGCAAAGCTGAAAAGTAAGTGTTGCCTTTCCTTCCTTTTGTGGTTGAGTTGGGGATATGCCTCTAATATGTTCTTGACTCATAGTGATCCTGCTTCACCTGGAGAGGGCTATTGATGCTGTTGAGCTTCCTGGAGATGACAGCGGCGTCACCAAACCTGGGAGGTGAGGGATGGGTGCTGATCCCATTACCCCAAGTCCTACCTGGGGCTGGAGATAGATAGTAGATGCATGGGTTCTGTCCTCAGCGAGTTCTGTGAGCTCTTAATTCCAGCAACAGGATCTGTTTTTAAATTTCAAGACTTAGGAAGAATTGACAGCTCTTTAAGTGGTCATTGAAAACATGTGGGAGCAACAGCACATATGCCTGCATAGTGTCTCTTCCAGCTCTGTCTCCTCAGGCCCCTATAGGCAGAGTGGGTGCCTGTTAGAATCAGACCTTCTGTTAGGGACCATCAGTACTATCACCCAGTCCTGAGTAGGGATCTAGGAGACCAGAAGGTTCTGGGCATTCCATAGATCCTTTTTCTAAGCAATACTATGGGTAGCATGGTTTGAAGGCAGACAAGGAACTGTGGCCAGGGCTGAGGGGTAGTTTTTGTGGACACATGATGAATGGCTGTGCTAGGACCTGATCTGGGCTTGTGGAGGGCAAAGCATATTCTGAGATTTTGGACTTCTGCCTTTTCCCTGAACAATTTTGTTCCTCTGAGCTCTGACCTTTGTAAGTACTCCTAGTTGCTCCCAGAGAAGCCAGATATACCAGCTTGACCTTCATGGTTCTGGTCTGGTTTTTGGTCTTCCTTACCTATACTTCAAGGCCCTTCCACAGCTCTCTTCCAATCTCTTCCCAAAGCCCTTAGGGTCTCTGCCCAGATGCATGGCCTCCAAAAAGACTCAGGACCCTCACCTATGCCGCTCGTGATGGTGGCCTCTTACACAGGTCCCTTGCCTTTTCTTTGGTGGGTGACTCTCCTCTGCCCACCTGGAGGTCACAGAGGGAAGAGGCGTCTTGCCTCCACTGTTGGCCTCCCTGGAGGGCTCAGCATTTATTTCTGATTGTAGGAAATTTAGAAAGCCCTTACCTTGTAGGTTCCCCAAAGTCACTGCCTGGTCCTCCCCGTCTCAAGCTTCTCTTCTCTTTGGCAGCTACATCTTCGAGCTGTTTGCTGAAGCCCAAATAACATTTCAAACCAAAGGCTGCATTGTGGAATCACTGGACCAGATAATCCAGCACCTGGCAGGACGTGAGTCTCTAGCCCACACTATGGAGTATGCCAGGCTGGTGACTTTGATGCAGATGAGCAAGGCAGGGGTTATTATTCCATGTCCAGCAGTCAACATAGCCACCAGTGTCAGCAGGCTGCTATCAGGCCTTCCTCAAGAATAACCCACTCCTCTTGCATGTTTGTTTATTTTGGGCTGTGCTGGAGGTTGAATCCAGGATCCCATACATGGTAGGCAAGCGTTTTACCATTGAGCCACATCTTTAGCACTTGTTTTTTGGGATAAGTCTCACAGACTGGCCTTGAACTTAAGATCCTTCTGTCTCTGGAGTGCTGAGATCACAGAAGTTGCCACTGACCCCACTGGCTTCCTCTTTCTGATTGAGACATGGAGGCACTAGTGACATTTGGCAAACCATTATACTCTTGGAGCTTGTTGTTGATGTGTTCTTACTATAGTGTATCCTAGTTCTTCTTTAAAGAGGCACAGCAGAGGTCTTAGTGGATACAGTGAGCTGTGGGCTTCTTCGGTGTCTCTCCTTTGCCATCAGTTCTCATTTCTGCTTAGTTGGGAGATCCACAGTCTCCCAGAGGCAGTGGGCCTATGGGCTTCTTTGTGGAACCCTCTTCTACTGAGTGGGGTCTTGAGCGGTTTGCAATGCCACAAGCAGCAGTGTCTGCCAGGCTGCCAGGCACTGGGGAATGGCAGGCCCCTCCCTACTGTTTGACCACAGAGGCCTTTTGGAAGCCTATACTCCTTTGGGGAGATTCTCCATCTGGCTGTTCCTTGACACTGGGACCAACAGGTCAGATGCCCTCCCCTAGCATACCCCACTCCTGATGCTGGTTATGGGGAGGCTGGTTGCTTTAGCAGACAGGAGACAGAGCTTGGATGTGAAGTTTTGCTGGTTCCTTGTCTTATGGGATTCAGCTCCTCCTCTGCTTCTGTGGATGTCAGCTTCCTGATGTTCCACAGGTACCGGTGTGTTCACCAACACGGTTGGGTTGCAGAAGCTCATGGACATCATCCAGGTAGGAGCCTGCTTTCAACTATTTTGGATGACTCTTGTCTGATGAAAGTGATAACAGGAGCTTCAGGAACTAGACAAACGTCCACATAACACATATTTCTGATTAACAAATGCTTACGCTCCACTCCTTTCACCTTGACTGTAGTAGGCCTCGTGTGAGGTGAGGGAGGGCAGGTCTGGCCATGCTTGGCTGTTCAGTGGTCAGACACATCCATGGTGGCATTCTAGGACTGGAGTCCTATGAAGAGTGAAGGTCAGGAGCTACTTGAAGTCTGCCAGTGCCCTTTGGGACTAAGGCAAGACCTCCTTGTTCATAGTCACTTAGCTGCAGGTGACTTCAGACTGGGGGAAATCTAGAGACAAATGACCTTCTGGGTAGCTTCTTAAAGGAAAGATAAACAGAGACCCTGTTGGTGCCATGGTCTGTCAATCCCTGGCAGAGGGTGGAGGGATAAGAGAGATGGCTATGAAGCCACTAACAGAGATAAAGGTGGTTCTGTGGGACCCCTGCCAGAGTCGCCTGGGCCCTTTCTGCCTCATCAAGTCTTTTCTGCCTTTCACTGTGCTGTTTTGGTGTTAGCCTTTCTCTTGTCTGTGTGCCATGCACTTGTCCTCACGTCCAGTGTAGCAGTGTCCTCAGCTATAGTAGGCAAGCCAGGACTGACCAGGTAGTTGAGGGCAAGCCTGGTATTGGGGGCTCTGGGCAGCTTCAACTCTGCTAAGCCTTGCTAGGTTTTTAGTAGCCCATCTTAAGATTCCTGGCTGGGAAATGTTGATCCTGGGGGAAACTGAAGCATGGGCAGCTTTGTGTATGGTGCTGTGTGAAGCTACATGGTTGCTTCTGTCTGTGCTATACCTCCAAGCCCCTGGAGGCTATAGCTAGTGGGTAGGAGGTGCACTGGTTTTGTGATTACTCAGTGAATCCTACTGGAGAGGCAGTATGAATGCCTGGGTCCTCACCCAATCTGTAATCATGTTGTAGCTGCCCTTCCTCCATGCTGTTGGGCCTGGAGGTATAGGCCACAATGAACTAGGTGCTATCTTCTCAATGAGGTCAGACCTGGGCCAGGGGCCAAGTGCACATGTGGCAAGAAAGGCAGCTGGGTATATGCTCAAGCCTGATTCCTTATAGCCAACTTTGTGATAAGAGACATCATAGCCTCAGACTTCACTCTGAATGGATAATTATAATGGAAAGACAGCACTGCCAACATTTTGTGGGAGGAGCCAATTTCTAGTATGCCATTTTCCAGATAGATTGGGCTCTCCTCTCTAAGTACTTCTCCAGAGGTACAGTGGGCATGCCCAGGCCTCTGCCTCCCAGGATGGTGGTTCAGTGCATGACTAGTGAGTCTGTGACTTTTCAATGCCTGGGGACCCTGTACCACCCACACCTCGGCCACGGTGCTGTCTTGGAGCATCTTTGGCCCCCAGTGTGGGAAGCCCAGCTCCTGCCAGGCATACTGTTTTCTGTGTCAGAAAGTGACTCCCAAGAATTCACTCTATCCCTTCCCATTTGGGCACTAAGTTCAATCTCAGCTACAGTTAACTCTGTTGCTCTCAGACCTAGAGGACTCATGTAAGCAGTACAACCTCTCTCCTTTCTGGAATGTGGTTCTCCACTCTCCATTTATGAAGGAAGGAGGGAGGTATCTCCCTTATCCAAGCTCTTTGAAACCCAGACCCCCCTCACCTGGTGGTTTGGAATTTCCTCTGGCAGCTGTTCTAAAGGCCCCTGGAAGCTTCCCTGCCCCACCTTGGGGTGCTGTGCTGACTAGATCCTCACCAGCATGTTCCTCAGCTGCAGGACAGGTGACTGGTGAGTTGCTCATCTCACAGCTGCTTCCTGCATAACTATAGGTGCCAAGGGTTCCTGTCAGTACATGGGCGTGTATACAGAACTGCAACAAACCTCAGTCGGAGTGAAGAATCAGCTGGCGCTAGGGCCAGCAGCTCCCAGACTGAAGTCCCCTTCCTCTGTGCTCACCTGGATCAGACATGCAATGTGCATTCATGCATATCCACATTCACACACATGTACCTGGACACATGCATGCACTCACATTGTGGGGTGAGGTTTTTCCCTTATCACACTGCTTAGGTGGGGTTCCATTCTCTCACCTGGGATTCTTGTTCATTCCTCTTCTTTTTCTTTTTTTTTTTTTTTTGAAACAGGGTCTCCCTGTAGCCCCAGCTGACCTGGAACTTACTATGTAGACCAGGCTGGCCTTGAACTCACAAAGATCCTCCTGCCTCTGCCTCCCAAGTGCTGGGATTAAAGGCGTGCACCACCACTTGTAAACCTTTTAAGTGTCCCCAAACCAGGTGATGTGTCAGCTTGAGCTATCTTCTGTTTTTTGGGGTTTTTAAAAAATATTTTGTTTTATTATTATTTTTTTTAATTTTATGTGTATGTGTGTATTACCTGCTTGGAGGTAAGTGCACCCGTGTCATGCAGTGCCCACGGAGGACAGAAGAGGCTGTCGGATCCCCTGGAACTGGAGTTAGGACAGTTGTTAGCTGCCATGTGGGTGCTGGGATCCGAACCCAGCTCTTCTGCAAGAACAACTAGTGTTCTTAACCGCTGAGCCATCTCTCTAGTCCCTGTCTTCTGTTCTTTAAGTTTGAAAATCATAACATACATAGTGAAACCCTATTTCAAAAAAGAAAAATAAAATGTGGAATCTTGGAGAAACCCATGGTTGCCATGGAGTCAGGGAGCCCTGTTCTTCCCTGGCTACTTTAGTTCATAGTGAGTGAGAGTGTTTCTAGACTCCTCAGGCAGGGCCCAGAGACCCATTCCCCATCAGGCAGGACTGATACATATAGAGGCAGCTTGGAAGGTTCAGGGAAGCAGGTACTGATGCTTCGAAGGCCAAGACACAGAAATGTCCTGGATGTACACAAGGCCCTCCCGTTCACTTATCTCATGTTGGAAGCTGGTCTCTACAGAGGGCTGGCATAGTGGTGCCCTGAACAGCCAACCATAGCCCTGATGGGCATTGAGCAGAACACAGTTCGTGGAGTTCTCCATGTAGGCATGAGGAGTTTCCACTCACACCAGTGCACAAACCAAGAAACCACTAGGATGAGAGTCTGGGGGTGTCAATTTAGCTGGAGTTGAACCAGGAATCACAGTGAGCAAGGAACTGTCTGATGAGGAAGGCCAGCAGTGGTGATAAGCTGCCTCTCCAAGAGAAGAGGTCTGTGCAGAGAAGCCCTTCTGAGGGAAGAGGAGTCTGGGCCATGTGTAACACTTCAGTGTTCCCTCCGCACATTTCTCATTTACTTCCCTTGCCCTGTGGATGGTTCTGGCTTTTCATTGTGGTTGGTACTTCTTTGATCTGGCTCTGTTTCTCACTGATTTGTGGGCCCTGTAAGTCCTGTGTGTCCACCCCATATGATATGCATATCCTCTGCTAACCTTTTCTGCCTTTGTGATGGACTTGAACAGTTTTCCTTTCTGTCAGAGGCCTAGTGCCTCAGATACATGCCTTCTAACCTGTGCCTGGTCACTTTTGGTTTTGAGTTACATGACTATAGAGTTACATGACTGTGAGGAGTGTGGGTGGCAAGTGTCTACTTTCTCCAAGCTACTCTGCTTTCTGGGCCCTGGCTGCTGCTGGCATCGCTGCTTTCCTGCTCATTCTCATTTGCTGTGGTTTTCCTAAGTTCTGATACCGCCTAGAGCCAATTCCTTTCATTCCTTCCAGCTGTCTTGGCAATTTCCTTTGCCAGGTGAATTTTGGACTCAGTCTTTTCACAGCCTTTAGGAACCCTGCCATGGTCTTAGCTTCAATGTTGAAATTCTGAATGAGTTTGGAGCCCCAAGAAGCTCAGAAGGGAGAATGGCTGAGTCAGTCAAATAAGGGCCTTCCAGGCTGTTGCACTTCTAATGTGTGCTGGTGGCTCCCAATGGGAGATGCACAGAGAGCTTTAGAGCCACCTGGAGGAAGGGACAGCAGGGGTGAGCTGCTGCTGCTGAGCCTGGTCATACTGTCTAGTGTGGTGGTAAGCAGATGAGGCCCCTGGTCATCTGTCTGGCCTCTGAGTAGAAGGGTGACTCAGAAAAGGACAAAGTGGCCTCAGGCTCCTGCATGCTAGAGGTTTCCACATGATGGTATTTGTGTTCTTACCTCTGGCCCCTGACCCTTATGTTGTACTGCCTTGCCTTTCAGATTGTGTTCAGTGTGGACCCCACTGAGGGCAGCCCTGGTGTTGTGGCAGGAGTGGGTGCCGCACAGTCCTACAAGGTGAGAGCAGCTTCCAGGATGTGGGCAAGTGTAGGGGTCTCAGACCTGTGGGGTAGGGCTGCCTACCTGGGCAGCATATATGTACATTCATCCTTCCAGGTGCACATACACCCTGAAACCAGCCACCGGAAGGCAGCTCAGCAGTCAGATGCCTGGAGCACCACTACATCCAGGAAACAAGGTATAGAACTATGGCCTGGGAAATGCTGGACCCCCACCCCCTTGCATACTGGTGCCATCATACCTAGAGTCAGGCACACTTTTGGTCTCATTTCCCTTCTGAAAGCCAGGGACCTTGAAGGAATCCCCAAGCACTGTTACCTGCCGGAGTCACCCAGTGGGGCAGTGGCAGAACCAGGGTCCTGTAAAGGCCTCTTCTCCCCGACTCAGGATGCATTTTTTTTTTAATTTTTTTTTTTTTTTATGTGTATGCGTATATTTCCTGCATGTGTGTGAGTGTACCCATGTCATGCAATGCCAGCAGAGGTCAGGAGAGGGCTTCAGATTCTTCTGGAACTGGAGTTAAGGACGGTTCACAGCTGCCATATGGGTGCTAGGAATTGAACCCAAGTCCTCTGCAAGAGCAGTCAGTGCTTAACCACTGAGCCATCTCTCCAGCCCCCAAGATACATGTTGGTTTTTTTTTTGGTCTTTTTGAGACAGGGTCTCCCTGTAGCCCCAGCTGTCCTGGAACCCACTATGTAGACCAGGCTGG